GCAACAGTAGTCCACACAGAGTGACTGAGATGGTTAAAGAGTTTGATTTTTCTTAATGGAACATGCAAGGGTTAAGCAGTATTCTGAATATTTGACACACATCTTACTTTGAGCTCTTAGGAATTTATAAATTCTGTGCCTACCATTTATGTTGTTCTGCATCATTCTTCGTTGCACACATATATGTGTATATATCTACAAAACCAGTGGTAATGAAAACGCTGGTAGGTGCCTTTGTACAAAAGTCCAGTATCAGATTCATGTATTCATTCAGAAATGGATAGTATAGTGCATTTGGAACAGGAGACAGGCTCTTATCTTCAGCTGTCTGTTCAAATTTGCAGCGAGGAAACTGGCTTCTGTGAAGTAAGATGGTGACCCCGGTCCAGTTCCTGGTATACAAAGCATCCAGATCACAGCTGACAGTAATTGGAACTAGACAGGCATGGCTATCTCAGTAGAAACAATTGAAAGGGTCAGGAGACTGAAATATCTTCTGTTCTTCAAAATGCTGTGTGTAGCTAAGGACAGAAAACTGTTTCACTGAACAGTCTTGGAAGATGCACCTCTTATATGTATATATTCTCTGAATAAAACATTACAGCTCAAGAGGATACCTGATTAGCACTTGCGGTGTATATTGATATGGGAATATATTACTCCCCTGAAAGGAGATTTAAACATCTCTGAAATCAATGGTATCAGGATATAGCTTTTAATTGTAAGGTTTTTTTGTTCTTTGGAACACACATATCAAATTCTTTTAAGTCTAAAACTGTATGGATTTTCTTATATATTTTGCTCTGAATGGAGTTCATTTCTGACTCATTTTCTGTCTGAATAAATCATCTCAAATGTAACTGAAGTAGAGCAGTTTTGCTAGCCTTGGTGATAATTATAAAATAGTTGAAGAAAATGACCTGCTATTGCTGGCTTGCTTTAGAGGGAGGTGGCTTACAGTTCTGTTCCTAGTCAGTCAAAATCCATTGTTTCAGTGTTGCATGACTCAGGAGGCACGCTGAACCATCTCAGCCAAATTAATGCCTTGCAGGAGAGACACTCAGCCACCTATCATTTATGTTTGGTAAAAAATGTGAAATGACAACATAGAGGAAAATTAGAATCAATAAGTAGAAGTCAAAAGCTGTTGAATGTTTTTGTGGCGAGTGCTGACTTGACAGGGTAAGTGGCATCGAGAGTCTTTGAATGAACTAACTCACTTTTATTCCTGAATTTCCTTCCTGCACAAAATTGCAAGTTTTGGCAGTGCTGGGACAAATCATGTGAAGTCTTAGAGATGTGGGCTGGTGCCCACTGGGAGTAACAGACAAAACATTCATCTTCATCTCTGGTGAAACTGAGATGTAAGGTAGACTTCCAGAGACAAGATGCTATCTAACTTCCAACTTTCCTTACTTACATGGATTTGATAGCCTTTTTCTATGGTTTCTTTTGTTGTTTTCTGTACACACTGAAGCTGTTCTTACTGGTGTATCTCGACAGAGATGCATTAAAGAAGTGTTAATATGAAATTTTCATTGATGGAGGACACATAATTGTGAGTTAACAATAGTTGCTTTAAATTTCACATTTCAGATAGAACTTCTGGTATTTTCATACTTACAAGCTTTATTCTATCCTAATTTTCTCTCTGTAAACTTATTTTGTTGTCTGGGTTTTTTTTTGTTTTGGTTTTTTTTTTTTTTTTTTTTTTTTTTTTAATATAACCATAAGAGATCAAAATAATTAGCTGCTGTTATTCATTAAATTATCCCTTAAATGAAAGAAAATGGTTTTTAAAGGTGACATAATTAAGCAAATACAGATAGAAATTTACCCATCTATTACCTCTCTTCTTCTTTTCATTTAAAAGAAAAGATATCCGCTTTTCAGAGATATTGGTGATCTAGACAAGTAATCAAAAAGAAACAAATAAGAAAACCCTCTGAGATGCGAGGCAGAGGGGAGAACAGAAAAAGACTGGTATGCCAATGCCTGAGAGCAGGGCAGCTGCTTAAGCCACGTCCTGCCTTGTTTCATGAATATATCTGGCACGGTGAACTGAAATGCCAGAAAGAGGGTGATGATGCTGAACTACACTTTCATGGTACGATTCCTCTGTCTGAATATAAGATTTCAAAAATTAAACTTTTTACAAAGTAAAACTTAAATATAATAATAATGACCGGAACAATCAATTAGAATGTTACGATAAAAAAAAAAAAAGGCAAAAATAGAGTTTCTCATGTGAGGAATACTTCTCAGACAATATCTACTGTTGCTTTGTTTGGAATAGTTCATGTTTCCAGGATTAATTTATGTATTGTAGTGTAAAGAAAAAAAAAAAAAATACTGAAGACTGTTAATTCCTCATCTATGAAGGAAATCCTTTGCATTTAGCCTCATTATCTGCATGAAGTTAGCTGAGTTATTAACTTCTTAAAATCATAGTTTTCATATACTCAGTGGAACTTCGTTACTAAATTATGAAAATATTCAACTCGTTTTATCTTCCTGCAGTGCTGTCCAAACCTGCTCACTTACTGAAATGGCCACGTTCAGTGTCCACAGAGTGAGCGAATATGCTTGGTCCCAGCAGAGCAAGGACTTTTCAGAATTTTTTTAACTTTATTATTTCCACGAAGCTAGGATCTGTTCTGATACCAGGAAGTTATAAGTAAGGTCAAAATATGCTTTTAGTACCCTATTTATAACTTCTGAATGACCATTAATGAAAAGTGCAAAACATTTTGATTTGCCTGAGTGGAAAGCAATGTGGAAACGAAAGCAAAAGAGGAAGTGGGATCTAAGAGCAGAGCGGGAGAAGGATCAGCTTACTCCCGGGAAAGAGGCAGTGTGATTCTAAGTTAAAGGATATTGACTTCAGAAATATTTTATTTTTTAATAAGAAATGTCTAAAGTATAATAACTGCATTTAAAAATATTAACACTTAACATAAAGGAATAATGAAGTTGGCAAAGTGATCACTTCTACTTTGAGAAATAACACAGCTGATGTTGCCAACTGTGCATTAGGTCAGCCTTTAATTTGTTTTGTATTCTTTTTTCTAAAACCTGTGTTTTATCAGAGATACTCTGAAGAAGAACACTGAGCATCTTGTCTTGCAAACACTGAAAGACCAGGACACTTAAAACTTTCCGTAATTTTCATTAATTGTCCTCCTCACTTTCTAGTTAAATGGAAACATGTGCAGCCTGAGTTACAGAAATGCTAAGTGCTCACAGCTGCAAGAGACATCAGTGGGAAGTCTTTTCTGAACACTGAATCCCCTAAACCAAAAGCTTTATCTATGAACTGGCAGCCTAATTAGGGGTTCCTGGGGAGTTTTGGCTATTATGTCTCTTACTCTGTGCCCATTTTGCAGATGGGAACTGTCCTCCCACATAGTACTGGCAAGCCACGTTGCCAAGTGTACTGTAGAACCTGATTCTTTGACATTTATAACCACTAAGAATCCTCTGCGATGGCATTAGAGAGTAGCATATTAGGGAATTAGTAAGTCTGCAGTTTGTCTGATGTTAGCTTGAAACTACACGAGGAATGCCAGAGATAAGTAGAAATACGAATAAAACACAGGATTTGTGAGGACAGAATCACAGAAGGGTTGAGGTTGGCAGAGGCCTCTGGAGGTCATCTGGTCCAGCCTTCTGCTCACACAGGGTCACCTAGAGGCAGTGTCCCAGGACCATGTCCAGATGGCTTCGAAATATCGCCAAGGGAGGAGACTCCAGAAGTTCTCTGGGCAACCTGTGCTGGTGCTCGGTCACGCTCACAGTAAAACAGTGTTCGTGATGTTCAGATGAAACCTCCTGCGTTTCAGTTCGTGCCCATTGCCTCTGGGCCTGTCACGGGACACCACTGAAAAGACCCCGGCTCCCCCTTCTTTGCACCCTCCCTTCAGGTATTTGTACATATTGACGAAATCCCCTCTTAGCCCTCTCTTCTCCAGGCTGAACAGTCCCAGCGCTCTCAGCCTCTCCTTGTCGGAGAGGTGCTCCAGGCTTTCAGTCATCTTTGTGGCCGTTCACTGGACAGATGGGGTGAACAATTAAAGAGAGAATGATAATGCCCATGGATTTGAGTTAAACAAGAATGATCGGTCTAGCGTTTTTTTATAATTACACAAAATGTATGAATTTATTATTTTCATTAGTAATTTATAAGTATTTTTACAAGTACTAAACCAATTATATTATGCTTCACTATGATGGGGCTTCCACCTCCTTTCTTAGGTACCTTTAGCTGTGAAGCTGCAGACCTCTTTCCGGGACTGTTAGTGCTTGACCCACCAGTAGCAAGAGAAAGCTGCCATTTAATACAGAAAAGAACTTCTATTTTGTGCAGTGGGACTTCCAGAGTCTGTAGGAAGCTGGACTACCGTCCTTCTTGCGAACCTTCTTTCCTCCCCATGTGTCACTGGGAAGGAATGTCTAGGGCAGCGTGTGATATGTAAGAGATGCGATGGCAGCCATCAGCACCCATTTGAACTTACTTCCAGGGATTCTGTGGCAGTGCAAAAACAAATCAGAGAGTTTCCTAATGAATTTTTAAAGAGTAGACATTGTCATCTGATTTCTGACAAGGATAATAACTATAATTCCAAAACTGATAGAAAAGACTAAGAACTGTAACTCCTGAATTTTTTTTTACTTGGAGCAGACAACATAGTTTTTTTTTTTTTTTATGAATTGCTGTAATTCTCTAGTAATTAAGTACAATAATCAGTCTTGGTGACATACCATGCATGCAGCCAGAAATTCAGCTATGCATTTAAAAGAAACCCTAGCGTTGTGTAGGCATTCAAACTCATTTTTCTTCTGTTTTGTCATTTTATTTGTCCCATACCACAACGGGAATCAATTTCTCTATCTGTTTTAGGCGTATAAAATATGAAGAGATGCCATTTAGTTATTCAGAGATCTTTGGCTAGTACAGATGAAGATAAATGTTCATGTTTCCTGACTGCTTTCATTCATAGTGCATGCATTGGATCCCAAGACCCTTACTGTGGCTGGGACATGGTGATGAAGAAATGCACAACGCTGGAAGAAAGTCTGAGCATGAGTCAATGGGAGCAAAGCATTACTGTGTGTCCAGTAAGTCCAAACACATTCATTTATCTCTTGCAATTTTTGACTCCATGTGAATTTAATGAAAATGAGCTGGCATAGATTTTTCAATCTCAGAAAACTGTATTTAATCCCAGTTTCTTCAGGCTTTACCGTCAGATTTTAACAGAATATTTAGGGTTTTTTCTAATTCTTATCAAACATTTACATAATATGATCAAATTATTTATAGTATTGTCAAAGGGTAATTGTGTTTTACCTGTAATGTCTGTATTTCCACCTTGAAAACAGATGTTCACTAAGAGTAGAGATATTGATATGTTTTTCTCTGCAGGATTTTTCTCCATTTTGTACTTTGAAAAAAATTTAATCACTAGTGTCATAATCTTTTCTTTTAGGATCATTATTGCTACTATAAAAGGCCATATAACGTTTTTCCGAGTCCATGAGTTGGAAGGATGAACTGTATGAGTTAAGTCTCACCCACATAAATGACAGGAGTGGTAATTATAATAAACTTAGTGTTAATATTTGCAGTGGCTTAACACTTCTCTTTAAAAATTATTTTGTCTAAATTGAGTATAATAAAAAACAAACAACAAAGTTGATTTTTATGCCTCCCTTTTTAATGTGTTTCCAGTGTTATTTTAATATTCATTCTTTTCCCTCACTCCGAAGAGTACAAAAAGAGGGCTAAGAAGGATCTTCCTAGTGCAACCGAGCTCTTTCCTTTGGAGGCTCACGCTGCTTTGTCTTTGCTTTCTGCCCATGAAGAGGGAGCCTTTCCGGCTCAATTCCACTTTCATCGCTAATAAGGATTTCGTGAACTTCTCCCAGCTTGCCACTGGAGCCCACGCGACTGTGAATTTATAATCATATGATGTCCGTGTTCTGTTCTCCACGTGTTTAACAAGCTCCTTTTAACATCTTACTGGCATTTCTCTCTCTTAAGCTGGGCTTTATTTAGTGAACTAGAGATATGCAAAATTAGTATAAAATTCTTCCATCTTTCACTTGTGACCTCTGCATGCGTTGCAGCAGCCTCATAGGTACAAATCACTACACTCATTCTGAGGTCCTTGAGAAGTAGCTCCCGTGTTCTGTCTGTGTTTGACATGAAATAGTAATTTTTTTAAACAACATCTTGTCCTGTCCTTTGCATCCATGCGCTCGCATAATGTCCTAATAAAAAAGGCTTGCATTGAATTCATCTGCATTAGCATTTTAACTCCAATCAGGAGCAATTTTGGGGCAACTGCTCTGATTTTTCCCATCTACTATTTTTTGGTTCATATCACAAAGCAGTCTTGAAGCACACAAGCAGCATTACTTTAAGTTAAGCCAGAACTGTGCTGCAACTGCTACTATGTATTTGATCCATGGCCACAGCTAGTCCAAAATAAAGCCCACAAAAGACATATGGTGTATGTGTCAGGTCTTCAATACCAACTGTTTTATGTTCCAGAGTTGCAGATTATGTGCATACCACTTGCTAATATAGACATAGCCATTGTCTCACAGAAAGTCTGGATTCAGTCGCTACTACAGTCCTTGCCTGCCTGATTGGCAAGTAACTAGACGTGCTGTGCAGTATATTCATTCCCAGTTACATGGATATATCATATCTCCCTGCAGTAATCCCACAGGCTGCACGTGGTTATGTGGAGAGTTTGCTGGTGACCTAGTTGGGTTGCTGTATTCCAAAGAATTACTGGAATGGGTTGATGTTTGCATGAGCAGTCTGCCTACTGCTTAGTATTTGAATCTTAGTATTAGCCCTTATTTTATTCTGTAGATGCAAAACATGAGGCCAAGAGGGGCTGAAGGGGGAGGGAGGAATGGTCTAGAAAGCAAAATTCAATTCTGTTCCATTCAACTGGAAAAACAAGTATTTCGTATCTGTTATATGACAGTTGTGTAGGATATGAGAGTCTAGTCAAAGCACGGGATCACCAAAGGATCGCTCAGAAATTCATCCACAGCTGTGAGATTTATACTGCATATCAGAGAGGAAAAGATTTAGTGAGCCTCCAAAGGAATTCTGGAGTTGAGCAGATTGAGATTCCATAATATAAGGAAAATTTTAGAATTAACTGTCTAAATTGAAAAGTGTGGTTTTACCATTTACTGTCTTAAACCTCTGAACTCTAAGTAACACATTATTGAACAAATTTGAAAACTTCATAGAAACTTTCCTTTAAAATAACACTGTATTCTGGAAAACTGCAATCGATTACAGTTTTGCTTAGCGAGGCTTTCAAATATTTGTTTTTATAGCATTTTAATGTGCTGTATTCACAGCATATATAAGCCAAGATGTAATGAATTTCATTTTTGTAGACAGCTGAGCTATGTGCATCCTTGACATTTGCTATATACATTTAAGATAATGTTGCAGGCAGAACATAACAGAATATTAGAAACCTTCTACCCTCCCTCTTTTGGCTCCAACTGGTTCCAATATCTTAATTGTTAGTAAAACTACACTGATCTTTTTAACACTGTAGAAAATCTGTGAAATTAATGCATGACCAGTGTTTCTTCTAAACTTGGATCAGAGAGAGGTCTGTTCGTACACTAGTCTAGCCCCAAATTAAAAGTGACTGGTTGCACCTGAGAAATTATTTCCTATGGAATTATTCATACATCTGAATATTTATAAGCACGTCATGGTAGAGCAGGAGGAGGGCTAGGAGAGATAGCTGAGCATCTGCATTACCATCTCTCTGAACTTTGAAGATCATTTGTGACAAATACGGTTATTTTGGTCATCTTGCTTTGATTTAATTCTCAAGTTGTTTTTTTAGGTTATTGTTTCAGTTGGCATGAGTACACCAATTGTGTATTAATATAGATAGTTAACTAATGCTGTGACACATATATCTACTTTGAACTTCTTCCAGTTGGTCAGATATCCCTACTATTCATCCAATATTTTTTATAGTAATGAAGGTTCATTGTTTTGCTGAAATATTTTCCAGAGGGACTACTTGCAATCCATCACTTAAAAATCCACTTAAAAATACATTATCAAAGATCTTTTATGAGGAAAGTGAAAATAATTTCAAAAAAGGTGGTGTTTTTTGTTTTGTTTTTTTTTTTTTTTTTTTTTTTCGTAAGTATGCAACATGAATTGGTTTTATTTTTACAGCTGTGTGCAGGGAAAGACTATAGTGTGAGATCTCACCTGAATTCATTAGCAGCTTCAGGAAGCACTCCAGAGCCACTGAATTCTGCACAAAGCAATCTCAAATGAAAGAGCTCATGGCAGATTTAAGGGCTGGGTCACTGAAGATGTGGCCTTGACTCAGAATGCACAAACCAGGAAGATGAGGTGGGTGCAGAGAGGCTCAAGACAAAGACTGATATTTGGAGGACATTAGGAAGAAAGAGATCTGCAGAAGGGAAAGGCTGACAAAACCAGCGTGGTAGAAAGTGGAGGGTAACCATGCCAGGAATGTACAACCATATTGTCTGATTGATTGTGATTTTCCCCTTGAAGTGTGTGAAATGGTGAAAGGTTGATGGGAATAGGTTCTGGTGAGAGCTAAAAAGGCCCCTCACCAGTACATTTTGCTCTCCTATAGTCCTGTAATGAAATTGTTTGATATCACTTGTGAGAGGGAGATATTAATAGAGAGACAGCGCAGGTGAGTCATGGGGAACAGCAGAGACTGCGGAGGGATGGTATTTACAGGAATAGGGGGAAAAAGAACAAGGAAGAGAAACCTGCTATCCCTGTGTCCTTCTGAGGTCAAGCTTTCAGCTAAGCTTTATAAATGCTGTCCCTGCCACTTGATATAAATCATGGTAACCATAGACAACTGCAGCTTTAGTTTGTAACTGTAGGTGCAACAATAAAGATGCTTTGGTGCAGCATAGAAAGTGGTAAAGACATTTCCACATCTCTGATATTAAATGGATTGGGGACATTTCATTGCTAGTTTGTGGACTATATATTTGATAGTCCAGCACTGTAAGAGAGAATGGGCTTCCTTGTTGCTTAACAAGAAGTATTTCCTGTTACCTTATGAAAAGCAACAGTGTCTACTCTGCGTGAGCAAAGGTTGTGAGTTATTTTCAATAAACAGCTGTCAGCAGAATTTTGAAATGATGGATTATGGTTATATCAATTGTAGCTGGCAGGGTATACACATAGCTGTTCTGTGGAGAAGCTATATCTGTGAAAAATAAATCATGAGAAATGTAATTAATAGTGAAATTATGGAATCTTTACCACAGTGGAAAGAATTAGCCAGCACCCAGCATGGCAGTGGAAACATGTCTTGTGCTGTAATCGAATCTCTTATATCTTCAAATCATTAGTGAAATGTATACTTCCCTCACCACTGTTAAAATGAAACAATGCTAAAAATAGCAAAGGGAGACACCATTTCAGATCATTCGTGACAATCTACAAGTATAGTTCCTATTTCAATATATAAGCAAATGTTACGTTCTTACACATTTGATAAAATATTCATGACTATAACTGATACATATTTCTTTTTATCTAAGAGTGACTTTGTATGCTGTTTAGTCTGCACTTGTTAGTACTGTTGTTTTGACTGGAAGTTAAAATGTGACAATCAAAAGGCAAATCCTTTGGCAATTAAGTGAAAAAGGCCATCATTTCCATTTATGATCACAGATTTGTCACAATTAACACTTTGCTAAAAGACTTGATAATATGAGAGCCTGTCTTTGTTAAGGGAGCTGAATTCCCCATGTCCAGTCCCATTATTTTTAGAAGTTCCAGTAACCATGGAGGCTGCTGCAATTTCCATTAGCACATTTTGTTTCAGCTGGACAGTAAAGATTTCTTACTAACACGTGTTATAAATGCATGATGAAAACACTCCCGTCAGGGTGAGAATGGTCTGACCTTTCCAGCCAAGGGTGCTGCGAATTGACTTCAGCAGGAGGAAACTGTCTCATCATGTAGGGTTAGGTGCTGCTTTTTGAAGATGTTTTTAGGATTTATATCTATAATTGCATCTAATGTTTAGAGAGAGTCATATTTAAAACCGCATTTCGCTTTTATGTAATAGTGCTATATGATATGTTCTTCAAAAAACTGCTGTCGAAAGAAGACGCTCACTGTGGAGATCTGAGTTTGATTCACCCACGTCTGCTGCCCTGGACTATTATCCTCTGCTGCCTCTTCCTTTTGGTCTAGATTTGGGTTTCCACAAGCATTCTTGCACGTGCTTTTTTACAGTCAGTATCCAGGTTCCTAATCAGAAGTAAATTTTAGTCAACAGGGATTACTGTCATCAGAAGATAAGCGAGGAAGTGGAACTATACTTTCTATTGGATCACTGCAGGCAAGCATGGTTGCAAAAGGTGGCGGTTAGTTGTGATTATTGCTATCACATCCATGTCCCAGATTGGTTGGAGGTGGTGGGAGTTGCGCAGCTACAGAATTTGTAAGGGGAGCTTGCCGTCTGGCGGCTGTTCCTCTCCAGTGGAGGCTTTTGTTGCTGGTGGCTGAAGGCTGTACCTCCATCTTCTGCAGAGTTAAGAGGTTGTATGAAGGAACTTTTGGGCCCCAGGTAAGCCTTTCTCCTGTGTTTCTTTCGAGATGAGGAATCTGACGGTGGATGGACATTTTGGAACATGGTCACAATGGAAACCTTGCACCCACACGGATGGCGCCAGTGTTGGCTCCTGCCTCTGCAGGACACGAGTGTGTGACAGTCCTGCTCCCCAGTGTGGAGGTTGGCTGTGTGAAGGACCAACCATGGAGATTGCCAACTGTTCCAGGTACGCAAAACAATTTCAGGTTCCATCATTTATCGCTCAGAAGTTTTTAACTTAATCCGAATAGATCCTACCCTTCGAAATCTCATCTGCAATCCACGGATCATGTTCTGTGCATGAAACAGCTCAGAGCAATGGCCACAGCAAATGAGACGTCGGGAAGTATCTCTCAGACATTGTGGGAGAGAGAATCTTTTTCTCAACTCTGTAAGACATAAAACTTTTTTTCTGGAAGTCAGAAAGTATGTGCTTTTGTGGAGGTCTCATGTCACCATTGTATTCCTCCATTCTGCCTTAGGAAAAATGTTTTTGTCATATCTTTTGGTTGTATCGTGACAGCTAGATCTGTTACTAGTCTGTATGCCACTCTTTAGCCACTCTTTTGTCTTCCTTAGGCACATAGCCGCTCCCAGAAAATACAGTGAGAGCAGATTGTTTCCAAGACTGAGAACATTGCACATTCTGAACTGCATTAAGAGTTTGTGTTTAAAACATCATACATACTTTAATTGCAAGGGGAAAGTTACATAGTGGTGCACTCTGCTTATTTTCAGTGATTCTGCTTTTTGTCTCTGCTTTTTTTTTTTTTTTTTTAATATTGGAAGCACATCATGGTAGTCAATAAAATGGATTATCCTTCTGCATAACATAACTGCAGGCTCTGCAAGTGAAAATAGTCAAATTTAGGGAAATTATTAAAACCATAACAATCTAGTATGTAACATCAGGAGCATGCTAGAAAGAGATAGGCATGCTGCGAGATACTGATCAATCAAACAACAGCTATTGGCTGTCAGGCTTAGAAGGGAATTTGAAAAATTATTTGGGACTTGATTCATGTGCTACCATTGGCAGTATTACACTACTGTTTTAACATCGTACTTCTGTTATCACTGCTATATTAGTAATTGATTCCCAGAATTCATAGATATCCAGATATTTTGTTCATTTTACCACTTGGATCAGACATTGCACTGACAGAGGTCTCTTTTGTCTGTGCTACCGGTGCTAGCTGATTATTTTTTTTCTGTTATCAACTCTTATATCTCTTTTAAGAACAAGGTGTCAAGATGAGTGAGGTTTAAACTGGCAATATTTGTGATAAATTACTTGAATAATCTTATCTAATTTTTATTACTGCATGTAATTAGTTTTAATTTTTTAAAAAATAAGTGATTTCAAACTCAAGTAAGGCACTCTTTTGACTTTTGCTTTTATGATGAAACCTCAAGAACTCACTGTAGTTTAGTTTTATTTTTCTTAATTTCTGTTTGTCTTCTAGCAATAGAAAAACTGCAGTCTAGCCATCAGGAGGTTTTGGGAACTGATGAAGTACATAGTTTTTTGCTTAGGACAGGGTATGAGTTTCCTTTTGAGATGTTTGGTCTAGTATATTTTTTCAGAGGCATTCTGCAGAGGGACAGGAGTATCCTTTCCAAAAGTTCACAAATGCAGGGTACAGTACGTGAATTCTTTTAGCTTTTTTTGTTACATTACAAATAAGGTATTGGCACATTATCAGAGCATCCTGTTGAAATTGCATTTTGACACTTACATATTACTCTTTTTCCTTTAGAATCGTAGAATTGTTTAGGTTGGAAAAGACCTTTAAGATCATCGAGTCCAACCGTTAACCTCACACTGCCAAGGCCACCACTAAACCATGTCCCTAAGCGCCACATCTACCCATCCTTTAAATACCTCCAGGGGTGGTGACCCAACCACGTCCCTGGGCAGCCTGTTCCACTGCCTGACAACCCTTTTGGTGAATAAGTTTTTCCTAATATCCAATCTAAATCTCCTCTGGCACAACATGAGGCCATTTCCTCTTGTCTTACCACTTGTTACTTGGGAGAAGAGACCAACATGCACCTCGCTACAACGTCCGTCCAGGTAGTCGTAGAGAACGATAAAGTTTGCCCTCAGCCTCCTTTTTCTCCAGGCTTTCATCACTTTCCTTTCAGAATAGGTAGCAAAACTTGACATTTTAATCTCCCTGAAAAAAGGACCCACAAATAATAATTGGAACAATACGTAATTAAGAGTTATCTTCAGAACTCTAATACAGGAGTTTGCAGATGAAGTTTACCCAGAATAAAGTCACCGAAAGCAACTGAATAGTTTCGTATCTTTGTACTTCTTGTGTAACAGCATCATTTTAGCAGTTGCTGATTCCAAAGCATGGAACACGGAAGGATCAGAGCACCTTTATTTTAGTTCAATATTCTTTAAGAAATCGAACACACTGTAGTATTAATGACTTCTACAGAAATATTAATGGGCCAGATTCTGCTGTCAGTCACACCTAATCAGCCATTCGCTATGTATAACAGATGACAGAGCCTGAGCTTTTTATTCTACCAGAAATGGAGGCTGGACACCATGGACTTCTTGGTCACCTTGTAGTACCACTTGCGGAATAGGCTTTCAAGTTCGTCAGCGTTCCTGCAGCAATCCAACCCCTCGACATGGAGGTCGCGTCTGCGTGGGACAAAATCGTGAGGAGAGGTGAGTTATCTCTTTTCCATTGTCTGCTTTAATTTATTCTGCTCAGATGTATGCCACTGGGCGTTTTCTCCTTTACCTGCCTTCTTTCTCTTTTCCCTTTCACTCTCTCTTTAACTCCACTGCTGCACAGTAGCAGTATTCCCATTAGCAAGGCCGTGGGGCTGCAGTGGTTCTTCCATCTTTCACTTAGCTGCATCCCTCCCGAGCCAGCTGAGAGCTCCTGGTAGTGCCAGAGAATTGTGCTGAAGCGATGTGCTGCTGTCCCTTGAGTCCCTGAAAATTGATTCTCCTTGAAAATTGATTGCAGTGTGTTTGAATTGTAACTTGCCCAGCCTCAAGACCTGGATTTCTGAGCAAAATATAGTAAGGTCACAGCACTATGTTACTGATGCTGCGAGTTCATTTTTTTCTGTCTTAAATGAATTAAGCTTGTGTATAACACGAAAGGAAGTTTCAAGGACTTTGTTTTACATTCAGTGAATATAATACACCTTGAACTCAAATATCTTTGAGTAAGGTTTCAGGGTTTTTTTTAAATTGTCTGTATATATATTAACCCCTGAGCAGATCAAGTCAGCTCAAATTTCGATTTCACCATCTACTGCTTTGGCACTGGGGTGGGTATTTTGCCACTAGCTCAGGATGTAAAGTTCAGGCCTCTGATTCCATTTTACATGCACCCTAATGTCTCTAATTTGTAATCTGTGTTCTCTAATTTGTAATCTGTGTTAGGAATTTTAACAGGGATTAAGTATTTATTTAAATCAGACTAGAATATATTCAGATAAAGTGCGACTCTTAGGTGCATTAGGTTGTTTCCCAAGGCCTGCCAAAAAGCTGGATAGTGAGGGACTGGTGTTGGTGTGAGAATTTGGAGTACTGTAGGCATCATCTGTTCCAAGAGATGTATGCGGATATGTTTCCTCTCACTATGCACTTGCAGCTTACTTCAGTGTTTCTGTATGGATGATTTAGTATCCTATATTACTGCTGGATGAAAACAAGATTCAGTAACCTTTATGATGAGTTTCAGTGTGGGATTTAGTTAAACACTAACTCTGGCATTTCTTCAACTGAAGAGATTCCATTGAAGGGAAGTTGCGTCACATGCTTCTGTAGTAACAGATCATCAGGAACTTGGTCTTTCTAACTAACTGTAAGGGATCAGTATCACAGAACAGATGAACACTTCTTGCTGTTTCAGAGCCATGAATGTTCATCATTTCATCACAAAGAAGAGCACTTTGTTATTTTGTAAATTACTTTCTGAAAATATGTTGCCCAACCAAAAAGCCATCACCACCAGATGTAGATTATATCTGTTATTACCTATGTAATAACAGATACACTGCCTGCACTGTCCCAGCATGAATAACAGTTACTGATTTTTTTTGAACTGAGAGGTCAGTCCAGGGCAGAACACGATGAAACTGAATATGGAAGAAAAGAGTTTAATTTTTTGGTGATGGACTATGGATGTTAATGGTCATTGTTCATACTAAATTTAACATGGAATAAATGTTCAATAAGGAGTTTCAGAGAAATACAGAAAAACATGAGAAATGCTTCCATAATTTTAGGAGAAAATGTCTGTTATTAAGACAGTAGGTGCACTAGAAAAGCATTTACAAAATGGAGAGTGTGACTTACAATGAGTTGAAGTAAGAGCAGCCCAGAAGGATTGAATTTTGATATGTAACAGATCTGAAGGAGCAGCAGGCTTATGTGGCTTTGCTTTTGTAGCCTTCAGGTTACTTGTTCCTTCCCCCTTCCTCCAGTTCAGCAGCAATCTGGGATTTATGTGTCTGTGAGCCTACTGCAGGATGCCCTTTTCTCTCATAGTTCCCTGTCGCTGTTTCCTATATCCTTGAAACACCCTTTACTCTCACCAGCCCTGCACCTTCCTCTCACTCGCTAGTTTGCTCACAGCTGACCTTCCTGCCCCTACCCTGATTTTAAGTTATCCGTGATGTGTGCTGATATTTTTAAAGTGGGGTGTTTTTAAGTGCTTTTAAAACTTATTTCCAGAAGGTGTGGTATTTTAGGAAGTTTTGTCCCGTAATTTGTAAAGCAGCTAGAGGAATGAAGCATCGGTTGTTTGCCAGGATTTTTGTCAGTGTTAGGCCAAGTACTTGGATAAATCTTCTCAGAGCTGTAGAAAGCAGAGTCTCCTGGGAAACTCGCCAGCCAGGGCCCATCCCACCACGCCTAGCAGGGGAGCAGGGTAAGCCTGGAGGTCGTGTCCAGATTCAACCAAGAGTCTAGATTGTAGGTAATATCATGGTGATGAGACAAGTCTGAGGTCCAGCTGTGGACAGGCCAGGGTTCGGATCGAGTTCAGTGGTCACCAAGTAGGTCTACAGCAACAGTTCTAAGGCCAGAAGCCAGCCCACGTGTTGAGTCTAGACCAAGGTGCTCCATGGTGGGCCAGGGAGAAGGTCCAGGGAGAGAAGGTCCAGGGAGGGAAGGTCCAGGGAGGGAAGGTCCAGGGAGGGAAGGACCAGGGAGAGAAGGTCCAGGGAGGGAAGGTCCAGGGAGAGAAGGTCCAGGGAGGGAAGGTCCAGGGAGGGAAGGTCCAGGGAGGGAAGGTCCAGGGAGAAGGTCCAGGGAGGGAAGGTCCAGGGAGAGAAGGTCCAGGGAGGGAAGGTCCAGGGAGGGAAGGTCCAGGGAGAAGGTCCAGGGAGAGAAGGTCCAGGGAGGGAAGGTCCAGGGAGGGAAGGTCCAGGGAGAAGGTCCAGGGAGGGAAGGTCCAGGGAGAGAGGGTCCAGGAAGGGAAGGTCCAGGGAGAGAAGGTCCAGGGAGGGAAGGTCCAGGGAGGGAAGGTCCAGCACTTCTCCAACAGCACAGCTCAGACAGGGGTTGAGTGTCCCTGGCAGAGCTTAAATAGAGCTCATGGGCCCACAGATGTGGGTAGAGATCCCAGGTGAGGCTGGCTGTGGCCATTAGGGCTTTACTAGTGTCCTCAAGGCTCTGACAGCTTGTAGAGAGTTTGGAGCTGTGAGGGCAATGGTGTACCAGTATTTACAGTAGTCCTAATCCACTGCTTCACTCCAGTACCGCTGGAGTTATGTCTGCACCAAATGGAAAGTTCCTTGGAAATTAGGCCCAGTACATTTAGGCAGTCTGAGCAAATATTCCACATGCAGTAACTCCTAAGAAATGTTCACCTTAATTTTGTAACCAGAGTACTGATAAGCAGCTTCTTAGATTTTCTCATTTAAATTAACCAATGCTTGTAAATAGCCTAACATTTTACTTGCTTAATGGTCCTGCTCATATGTAAAATGAGTACATGTGTAGACTTAGTAAAAATTAGAATTAGTTGATTTGCACATTGTGTGCATTTGTCTTTATAAAAGTGCATATTTATGTTACCTTCACAACTTCAGGGGCATAAATACCCGATTTAATTTCCACAGCCAACATTGTGCTAAACTCTGAAACAGCTTTTCAACGAACAGTGATTTCAGTAGAAGTCCAGTGCATAACTCCATAGAAAGCAAACACAGAAAAGGCAGCATATAGCTGAGGTAAATTCACCTGCAGATGTGAATGCATATTCAGTTTGAGAGTATTTGTTCATGTGTTAAGAGCTAAATGTTTGTCTAGGTTGTGTTTGTTCTACCTCATGAAAGCCAGGATCTTATCATGGCTAATGTATCAGGCAGCTCTGTGCTTGCTGGTCATTCCTTTGAAATCAATGGCAATATTTACCAATTTAAAGTGTCACAGATAGGTTAAGCCGTTGCATGCTCTGCTGCTAAAGGGGTGTGGGGAGTAGAAAACAGTTGTGAGTGAGCGGCAAAGACTCATATTACAAAGCAAATTTGCCTTGTAGGAATAGGTCAAAAGTGCAGCTGATGTGCATTTATACAGAACATGGAGAGGGAGTAAAAATAATATTTTAACAAAATTTGCTAATCAGACAGAATGATTTTGTAGTTAAGACTCCAGATGGAAGACATCCTGATGAATTCCTTAGGGGCTTGCTTAAAAATTTCTGTTTTTTCCTGCATGAGAAATGTTCTCTGAAGATGCTGGAAAACTCTCTAGGTTTTAGTTTACAGAGTCAACTGTATCCTGTCTTGACTTTTTCATTGAGTGAAAATGTTTGTCCCCTCCTTTCTGTGGAAGATGCTGTGGAAATGGGCTCATTAGGTCCACTGATCTCCCTCCTATCTGTGCAGAAATGAGGGACATTGGAATGGGAATCCCTTGCTTTTAGTAAGTGTAATTATCTTTTATTACATAGAAGGGAAAAAAAAAAAAAAAAAAAAAAGAAAGAAAAGAAGCATGACAAATCAGAAGTAGAAAAATTAATTGGCTGCAGATGAGGAGTAAACATTTGAAAGCCCTGGAAATTTTGGGGTGTGTAAGAAGATTAGAAACAGTACGTCTTGCCACCTTGTCTTTTGTACACACTCCTCAACAGATATTCAGAGCTTCTGGGCTTGTTTCCACAGGAAGGAGGGACTGCTGGGAGTCAGGCTCCTGCCCTGTGCAGCATTGCTCGTTTCCGTGCGGTGTGAGCAAGCCTGGTCCCCAGACACCACGAGGCTTTGGGCTTGCTGGTACTCCCACGGCTGTCTTGTCTGCCAGGAAGTGTGGGCTTCCATCCTCCTGGCTCTCTCTGCACCGTCCTCTGCTTCCACAGAAGCCCCTGGGAGCACATGCCCTGGCACCCACCACCTTCCACAGTCTCCTGGGTGGAGAATTCTGTCAATTCAGCAATTTCAGTCCAGTAAGACATGTGTGTGCATTGTGTGTGTGCCTTCAATTAAGGGAATCCAGCATTCCCATCAACCTCGGAGTATTACGTGATCCCAGTAAGTCACCAGCTGGTAATCACGAGTACCCACCACGTAACAGTATATTGCATAGGAATGGGCAGACAGTGATGAAGGTTAGTTTGGTTTTCTTAAATACATGCTAGTATAATATAGTTCAAAATTAAGAACGATGTGTTTAAATTAAGTAACATTTCTGTGGAATAAAAAAGAGACATTTGTAAACTGTCGTGCAGTCAGCCTGTGGTACTCAGTGCTGCATGGCAATACTGAAATAAATTGATGTTTCACTAAAGGTTGAGAACTTCATGGGAACAAGAATAGTAATTCCAGTTGTACTGGAATTCCTGGAGTAAACATTTAAAAATTACTGTAGGAACTAGGGGTTGTGTACACAACTGGACAGAAGATGTTCTCCCTTCCCCCATGTGACAATTCTCTTATTAGAGCACTTGCACTTGGATTCACTGCAAGGGGAAATGAGAAGGGTCACTGTACAACCCCCACATTTCTCTAGGCTGTTCTCTCTTCCGGCCTCACTGCAGTCAGATTGGGAGAGAGGGCAGTGGTTTCACAGATTCAGGTTTCTTGCATTGCATGTTTTGTTGGGTTACTGTAAAATGTTAGCTCTGTGGGTCCTGAGAACAAAATTAAGAGGGGAAGAAAGAGCAAAAGGGAAAAAGGGTTACTGAGCGACCTGAAATGCAGCCAAGAAGAGATGTAATGAAACTTGGCTCAAAGCCCCATGCTGTAACACAGCTCTCAAAGATCAGTTGCAGGGATGTCTCTAGCTGTGAAAACATACCTGATATTTTCAGAGGCTGGCTGGCTGAAATGAAAATGAGATTCTACTTGTATGCTCTGTTGTTTGGTTTGCTGTTTGGTTGGTTTTTTTTTTTTTTTTTTCTTTTCCTGAAAAATGGAAAAATTGACACTCCTGTTGTTGACTTTTTTAAAAAAAAAAAGATTTCTTAAATTGAACTTAAGTAGCTTGCGTAGACATTTTAGGGCTTATTTTCAGTTTCATCTTGTAGTCCCACTGCATCTTTAGCGTTGGTTAACAGAACTGCCAACCTTTGAAGTGCTTACTGTGTCAGTTGTTAGGTTTCTTTTCTGCCTTCTGCTTAAGTGAGAGAGCAAGTGATGGGGTACGTTGATACTAAAAGAGGCTCTGTTCAGTGTGATGAGTTTCACTGAAGTGCGATTTATCACACCTAACTTCAGGTGTTCACAAATGTGAGTGCTTACCTGTAAGACAGCTGTCTGAACTTTAGCTACGGTCTGTAGAAACCTAGTCAATACAGACTGTGGAGAACAGAGTGATTTGTCTCCTTCTACTGTATATTCCTAAATTTAGTCAAATTAATCATTCTAGTCTCCGTAGCTTGGTGTGACAAAATGTCCATTGGCTGTAATGGGAGCTTAGATGTCTGTCTCCCACTCATCCTTTACAGTCAGTGGAGAGAAATCGGTATATTGAGGGCCGTGTTTGTATGACCTACATTAGACATTTGCTTTAGGGTGACATAAAATGTTTTTAAAAGGGATGTTTCTTTCCATGAACTGTTGCTCGTGTTTAAATGAGTACTTCATTTATAGACAGCTACACTGTACATGCCTGTATTTTAAGTCAAGATGAGTCCCACCCACCCTTAATTTTACTTTTTGCACGACTGAATTTTGGCAATTGTCAGCTTCATGTCAGACTTGATTTTATCCTGTGTTTGTCCCAAATTAACTTAGCACATCTTCATTAAGAACTAATGAATTTATGCAAAATATGTACTCATTGGACTAAATAAATGGTGATGATACATCTATGTTTCATTAAGTACCTGTTCTTAACAAATAATCCCAGAGACAAACTATCAGAAACATTCACATAAATGACTGCATGTGACAAAGAATGTGTGCAGCTGTTGGAGATTTGGGGGAAGAATATCCAGGAGCAGAATATTCCTATGCATCTTTAGTGATGGCATAATGTGAACTGTGAATTGCAAATACTGAACATGCAGGAGGAAAAAAAAGGTAGTTTATGTATAAACTGCTGTCGTAGTTTGAGCTCAGAAGGCAACTGAGCACCACCCAGCTGCTCGCTTCCCCCTCCAGCATTAAGAAGGAGAAAATAAGACGGCTCAGCTCAGAGAGCAACTGAGCACCACGCAGCCGCTCACACATCCCTTCTCTTCCAGCAATGAGAAGGGACAAATGAGCCAGGCTTGGGGTTCGAGATAGGACCGGGAGGGGCAAATCACCCATTATGGTCACAGGCAAAAGGCAGACTCGTTAGGGGAAGAAAAAAAAAGAACATACATTTATTACAGACACTAACAACAACCCTTAACAGAGTAGAGCAGTGAGAAGCATTGCCACACCTTGAGAACACCTTCCCCCCACCCCTCCCTTCTTCCCGGGCTCAGCTCTGCTCCCGATATCTCTACCTCCTCCCCCAGGGGCGCAGGGGCAGGGAATGGGGGGTGCAGGCAGTGCTGCTGCTTCTGCCATCTGCGATGGGGGGAGCTGCTGGAACTTCTCCCCCTGCTCCATCGTGGTCCCCCTCTCACAGCAGACAGTCCTCCACAAACTTTCTCCAACGTGAGACCCTCCCACAGGCCGCAGCGTTCCCCACACTGCTCCATCGTGGGTCACCAACTTTCTCCGACTGGATTCCCTCCCACGGCTGCAGCCCTTCCCGAGCTGCTCCGGCGTGGGACACCCCCCCATGCTGCAATCCTCCCAGTTCTGAATTACAGCAGCGGGAGCTGCTTCTTCCCACGGAGTCCTGACCTCCTTTGGGTACAGACACCTTATTTTCCAATATGAGGCCCCTCACAGGCCATAAATCAATGTCTGCTCCACCGTAGATCTCCATGGGTGGCGGGGGGGGCCGCCCTGCCGTCTCCCCACAGGATACAGGGGGGTCTCTGCTCCGGCACACCTCCCCCCTCCTTCCTTCCTCCGTTCCTCCACTGACCTTGGTGTTCACGCAGCTGCCCCAACTCCCCCTCACCAGTCCCACTGCTCCTCACCACATCCCTTCTTAAATACGTTCTGGCAGAGGCGCAGCTGATGGGCTCAGTTTTGGTGCAGAGGTGGAGCTGACGTGGAGCTGGGGGAGCTTCGAGAAGCTTCTCCCAGGGGGCCGCCCCTATAGCCCCTTCCCCTGCCACCAAAAACCCACCCCACTCACTCAAAGCCGGGACAGCTACTGTTGAAAAACGTTTACCCAAACCAAGTGCTGAATAATTCTGAGGTAGCCTACTTACAAATATTGAGGGTTTGGGGTTTTTTGCTCAGTTTACTACTAAACAGCAGAAGAGGTCAATACAAGCTGTTAAGTTTCCTTAACTATACAGAAACACAAAACTAAATGTCAGTCTCCTATTTACCCCATTCCCAAGCTTTCAAATTTTGATGGAGTTGCTCAGATTTAGGGACAAATTCGGAATCATAGGCTCCAGCATATGTGATAAAGCTATATAACATACACAAACAAAACTTTTTTCCCATGGGACTCTGAATATGCAAGTTCCTTTGTAAGGAAGAATTTGAGCTTGAGGATCTTGGGGCTTTCTACAAAAAAATATGTGGTTATGGTTATTCTTGTTGAAAATGACAACAGTTTATACTGTCATTTCCCTTTTCATATAAAATGAATTACTGAAGTATTAGAGTCAGTTTTTATTTCAGGAGAGTGCAAAGTGATGGGAACTTATTAGAAGGGCAAGAAGAGAGTGGATTTTGGATGACTGGTGTAAAAAATGAGGAAATATTGTAACAGATTGAATTGTTTGTTCAGGACAGTCAGTAGTTGGGAAAAGCCACTCAGCTGCATCCATAAAACATTAGAGGACTCCTTCAGGATCATCTGATTTCTGAATATCTGCCATGACTTTGCTTTCCCTGGAATGACATCTTAGGCTCTTTAGGAGCTCCAGTCACGCTTGATGGTTGCCCAAATCCTCTGGAGCTGTGTAGAGGATCCTTATTAAGCAGAATATGCTACAGCTAGAGTTATTGGTTGGCACACTCAAAAAAATCAGGAATCTTAGGTTTTTCCAAAATACTTTAAAAATCACTAAAAGTTGGGACCCTCCCACATCTCTGAATGTCTTGTTACAATAATGACAACTCAGTAGTAAAAAATTCTTGGTTCCCTCCAGAACCTAGTAAGCCTCTAAATCAGTTTGCAGCCCACTAGGAAATCCCTCAAAGATTATAATAGCCAAACACACCCTTTAAAATATAAAGTAATAGCATGAAAACAGTACACTTCTTTATGAGTAGAATCAATGTTTTAGCTTTTCTTTTACCCATAAAAGCAGAGACACCGTGGAAAGCAAAAGTCGAGTTTCGCTCTCCGAAGAGGAGAGAGACGGATGCAAACCAGTGCTTAGCTGTAGGCTGGTAAAGGACTGCCCGTGTAAGTGGTTGCCTTCTGCTTGGCTGACTCACTTCTGCCCGAGCTGTACAGCCACAACTGTTTTTAATAAAGTAGTTGTCAACCTTGCTTACGTGCTCATAAGTACAATAGCGTGGTTGGTTTGCAGGGATTGTATAAAAGCACCAAGTAAAGCAAACAAATGCTTCACCCACGCAACTATGGCCTAAAGAACATCTCAGATGTTTAAACACTCTGTGCAGCGTGGCAGCTGTTAGTTCAGTACTTTGAGAATAGAAAGGGGCCCTTTAGATAAAACATTTCCCTGTAAAAACTTCTGTCATTAATAATGCAAATGAGGGACTTCTGGGGAAGGTCTTGCCTTGGTTCTAAATGGATCCCTTGCTTCCTTTTTTGCCTTTTCTCACAGGTACTGCAATGAACATTTGTTGTGCCCCCCTCATGTGTTTTGGACAGGCTGGGGTCCGTGGGAGCGCTGCACTGCTCAGTGCGGAGGGGGGATCCAGGCACGGCGTAGGATATGTGAAAATGGCCCCGACTGTCCTGGCTGCAGCGTGGTAAGTGATTCTCAGCTTTCCCTTCAGGAAATACCCCTGGCTCTATGTCCATAGGGCATCTGTGTACATCTGTACGCTCTGCCTCGAACATAAGTCACTGGAGTGTGTTTGTGTTACTTGCGTGTGCTGAATTTCAGAGTTTAACAGTCAGAAATATATATAATTCAGCTTTTTCGCAATATCATCTAGAATATGAACTTCCTGAGGCAAGGTTTGCACAGATGTGAATGTGTCCTTGGCAGATTTATGGTGGTTTTTAGTTTTATCACCGGAGTACATAGGAACTCTAGCTATGAGCCCAGGACTCCAGTGTATCAGATCACGTACAGCACAGAAAAAGATAATTTAAAATCTAAATAAATAAGGAGCCAATAAGTGAATACCTGGAACCATCAGGGAGTGCTGAAGTGAGCATGAATAGCAACAGTGGCCTTATTGTGGCCACAGTCTAGCAGCTGTCAGGCTTTGAAGCTACAGTGGGATAATTCTGAATGAATAGAGGTGCTTTATGGATACGCAATTTCTAAAGAGAAGCATATGGGAAAGCAAATAGGTGTTTTTTCTTATATCCGAACAAATACGGGTGGCAGGTTTTGTATGATGGGAACATCAAAACGGGACATTGCTTTCTTCAAGGTGGATGAGAGGATGCGTAGTAGTGTATGGGTGAAGGAGAGAAATGCAGCAGAGACGCGTGGAGGGCAGGGTGACACGTTCACTGCAGTGCACTGGGAAGATAACCCGGGTGTGAGTATTCCTGAATGGATAACACTGTCAAAGCCAGAGGAAATAATATTATTGCAGGACAATTAGAAGCTGAAGCAAAGTCTTAGCAAGCGTAGGCGAATATCAGAAGATGAACCTTGGGGTGCTCTTTCATGATTATTTGAATTCTGGTGGTAGATTTTCGCTGAAGGGAGTGTTAGGTAGAAAGCATAAGGTGGGTGAAAATTTGGAGTGGCCGAAACTGCAGAAGAAAGACGGAATCTGCTGCTGAATGACAGATGGTAATGTCAGTCACCCCAGCAACTGAGAATGAGCACAGTTCAAAATAAAAATTAGAGTTTGGTTTTAGCGGTGTTGTGCTTAATAGCCAGGCCTAATGTTGTACACTGAGAAACATGTACTCAGTTTTGTTCCAGAATATTAAAGAGGTAGAAGAAGAAAACTTTTTTGTTTTTCTTCCCCCCCACACATATTACACCAATTTTTACATGCCTTCCTCTCAGAGAGTAAGCTTAATTCTGAGGTTTGTCATTATTTGTGGTCTCTTTGTTAGACTGGCAGTAAATCAATACTAAAGAAAGGATCATTTATTACATTTTTCTAATTTTAAGGTTTTGTGTGCATTTTCCCAGGATTTGTTCTCTTTTTAACATTTACCCTGGTGGTAGAATTGCATTTTCAGTATATTGAAAACATCCAACAGGTTTGTTCTTGTTTTTCAGTTGAACTTTAAGAATTAACCTAATAACTTAGAATTATACCAAGTTTTCCAAAATACTTATCTCCCCCTGATGTTACACAAAAAAGAAAACACATGGTTTAGATCTACTGTTAAACCTTCCGGACTAGCATAGAAAAGAGCACAATCAGAAGTTTTTCTGTCTCCGTCATCCCTGTTTATCCCATACTAATGTTTGTGAAAGAAAGCTGCACTTTCTTTTGCACATAATCTTCCCACTATATGAAATGAAAAATATGTAACTCCAATTTCCCTGGGAAGCTCTATGAGGAAACTAGGAAAACCTTTAATGTAAAAATATCTTAATTATAACTGATCTGAGATTAATGTTACTGGATTTTGTAATTTATTACGAGCCTTAGCACGTTGCCTCTGCTGTACCACAAAAGAGTTGCCAGTTCAGCTATGGAAATGTTTGGGGATTTTTTAATTAATTAGAAAATTATTGCATTGATGGTTTCAAAAAAGCACTTAGCTTTAGAGTACATAGTTATCTTGCTAATACTTAGGCACCAATGGAAACCAACCTAAGGTAGAAATCCTCTACACACCCTGGTGTTCTTGAAAGACAAAGAATTCAAGTGTAAAGTCTGTCTTCTGTTTATGTTTCAATGCATTTGGACTTGGAAGTTACCTGAATTGAGTCAAAAGTTTTGCAGCCATAGTAGGACCTTGTCAATAACTGTACCTGGAAAAGAACTACTTTATTTCTTCTAGGAGATTGTCTCATTAATGTAGAAAAGAGTGATCTGGAATATTTTTCCGCCTTCTTATAATTGTTGAATGGGTAAATAATTATATTATTAAAATCCTAATGAATGAGGAGCAGGAATATCAAAAATTGTTTATTCATCAGTGGTTCTTCTGCTTCAACCAAATTTTGAATTTTACTCTATTAGGTATGTGTCCTTCAAAACAATGAGAATTACGGATTTTTACCATAGTGAATAAAGGAGAAATTATTGTGCCTTATTACTAGTAATTTCCCATCTTTACCTGTTATATTGATACTAAACTTTGGTGGTGAAAGATATTTACTGAATTTAATTTGTTTCTAAAACCTTTTGTTCTGAGTATATCAGAGTGCCTGGAAAGCTAAATAATCTCGGGGGAAGTGGTAGTAATCTACCCTGTCTACTGGATATCCAGCCTGGAGTTAAAGACGTTATGAGCCAAACTTTCACCAAGTGAATTAAGGGAATGGCTAAGAATAGACTCAGGAACTTAAAATGCCAAGTTCTCTCTTTCAACCATTAGATGATGGCCTTAATATAAAAGCAGACTCTCCAGGTTCCTTGTTTACTTTCAGTAAGGATGAACCCTGGGAAACTTTCACAGTTTTTGAACAGCTTGAGTTGCCATAGACCTTCTGCAGCTGTAGAGTTCCGAGTCTGTGGTCTGTAAAGTCAAGACTTGTGTTCAGTAAAAGTGGGAAAGAAAAATGTGTTGAAGGGCTGAAGAATATACTATTTAAGGAGATAATACCTATGTGAGGCTTCATTTCATCTTGAAATTAAAAGAAATTTTTGATGCATCGGAGGTGTAGGTTAGGCTAAACGCTGTCTTGGGACCCCTTTCAACTATGCTGATTCTTTGTTTTTAGAACCGTTTTTCAGTGGGGGGTCAGGGGAGAAAAACAACAACTGTTTTTATAAGGCTTAAGAAAGGAAGTCTTACAGCTCGTTTGACAGCAGTATCAAGGGAGCAGATTTTATGTCATAGGATAACCTACCTCTTCTGTCTTCCAATCTGCCACCAGGCTGTGAGAAAGCAATAGAGCCAAGCCTAATCTATTTAGCTGATCTCATTTTGCAGCTTTTACCATATTCATGGCTGTTGTCTGTGTCCACCTGATGATTTATACCACATAATTTTTACTGAGCATTTTTCCTTCCGTTTAGTTTTCTTGAATTGCTTAGTCTGTAATATCACAGCAGGCAGCTACTGCCTGTGTTTTGTTTTTTGCATGTTGCTCATCAGTTGGTTCCTTGGCTTTATCTGTCTTATTATTGCAAACTTAGCGTCTTATAAAACAATAGTGATAATAAGAATAATAGTAATAATAATAATAGTAAATCTTTTATGCATACAAATATTCCAAAGAGAGAAAAACCTGATGATATTTTAAAGATGTGTCTCTTGCTGAGGTGCACTCAGTACAAGAAAATAGATGGCCAGAGACTTAGGACTAAAAAGCATTTACATTGAATATAGAAAACCATAAATCGTTATGATATAGGAGAATTGGACCTCAGAGACTCCTAAAGGTCAAAAAGATGAAGCTCAAAATGAAAATCTGGAGCCATAAGGACCTGTCAAAGTCTTTCTGTTAATCAAAGTTAGTAAAGAATGCTTGAAATTGTCTAATAAGAGATAGGACCTTCACAGCCAAATTTAAGAGCAGCTAAAATCTGTAATAGAAGGCTCAAGTGGATCACAAAACAGGTATTACACTCATGTATTCGGGTGCTACGTGCGCTAGAGAAGGGACTGTGGAATTCTGTGGACTGTGCTAATATGACTCAGAGGACAAATATCTTCAGATTTTACAATGCACTCAGATAAGTTGTACATTTCCTTCAGAAAATGGTTCTTTCCCCCTGAGAAGCATAATCTCAGTTGAATTTGCCTCAGGCCAGTAATAAAAAATAATGTTTTTAAGAATTATTGCTAGAATAAGAAATCTAGTTTGAGGCTAAGGTTGGGTGACATACTTCACGTATATTTGTCTGTGTTCTTGTTTCAGTCATGCTAACGTGCATTAAGTTTATTTTTTGTAATGGGAGACTGGTAAAGTCCATATACCAAAACAAAGCAAACTGGGTTTTGCTCTGGAATAAAAAAAAAAAAAGGAGGAATTTTATTTGTTTCTTAGAAATAGTTGCTAGTGTTGCATTCTTCTTTTTTTTTTTTTTTTATTATTATTATTTCAGTGTTATGGAAGTATGCTGAACAGAAAACTTTGTGAAGAAAAGCTATCTGTATTCTAAAGTTTCTGTTATGACACAAGACGAAAAAAAAATATTGGAAAAACAAATGTCAGAAATGTTTCCTTTCATTAAATTTTTAAAGAGATTTCGAAGATGGAGAGGTTTTCAGAAGTACTTTGTCCATCAGAAAGAACAGAGTCTGCCTTTAAAATTCTTGACATCTCGCAAAGCAAACTCAAAATGCCTAGACTAGAGAAAAGGGACCAGAAAATAAAATTGTTATTATGCTGTTTTATTGTTATTTTTTAAGTTTCCATTTGGCCTCTTTGAATTAAAGAAAAATAAAATAACTCATCATCTACTGCAAAACCAGAAAACATATTCTCACAAGCATGAGATACAAAAATTTATAATTTTTATATGACATTTGCCTACTTCATACTTATTTAGTTTTCCAATCCTTTTTTTTTTCTATCTATAATATAAACCCCCTTGAGTATTAGCTGTTTTTTGTATGTTTTAAGTTTAGCAAGGTAGAGCCTGTCTTCTTTTGATGCTGCGTATGCTATTGCACTTAGAAGCAATGCCAAGTAATTAAAGAGGGT